TACAGAAATGTTTTTTATAGTTTCTGTTGGTTGTTTACTTACGTAACTGTTTTGCAATTTGCAAATGAAGAAAAGTGTCTTTTTTTTCCTTAACGGAGTAAAAGAAAGTGGTTTATCCATCATTCCACACAAATACATCACCTATTAAAAATAGATTTTTTTGAACAACAAAGTATGCTAGCAGTAACATCAATTAGGGTAATCCAGAATGTGAAGAGAACAAAAAAAGCTGTCTGTAATTTACAGTTTTTACACATGACTCCGTTCTCTGTGCTTGGATGGAGTGAAGGAGCACGAACTGCAGTTCATGTCGCTGGGCAGGGCAAGCAGATGGTCAGAAGTATGGTCTTGTTGGCAGCTGGAACGCGTATTGACAATCGTGGAGCAGGAATTTTCAGAGGTTTACAAAACGATTGGACACATTTTAAATTTTAAACAAAACCGACTGGGTTACAAAAATTCTTTTCAGATTTTTCAGTTGCTTAACAGTTTATTTAAAAAGATAATAACAGTTATTAGAATGCTCAGAAACAATTTACAAGTAAAGTCATTTTCTTAGCATAGATTGTAGTCGAAAAATTACAAACTTAGGAATGCGGAATACGAATCAGTGGCTACCAGATGCCTTGGAAGTTTACCTTCAGCATTATCCGAAGGAATTTGTCACTAAGCAGTGGGCTGATCTTTGCGATGTCGTTCAACAGTTGGTTTTTTTATCAGATCTTTCGAATTTCAGTAGATATTTGACACATTAAACGTATTTGGTACAAGCGGAATAATCTTCACTATTTTTGAAACATAAAATTGAAGATAAATTTTATCAGCAAACTAACATTACTTATCGTTCTTTTGCCATCAAGTCAACAAAATTTGCTGATCGACAATTATTTGTGTAGATCCGATGGTGTTTCTTTCTGTTACTTTTTTCAGGTGGGTTGCAACAAAGAAACGAAAAATTTTTTAATTGCCATTTTTGTTTAGAGTGTATGATCTTCTTGGGGGAAGATTTCCATCGGATTATGTATTACCAAACCTTAAACTTCCTTCATTGGTACTAACTGGCGGTATGGACCGATTTTGTAGTGATCCCAAGTATTTCGCCTCAGTGTTACCAAATTGCAAGTAAGTTTCCGCACTATTTAATCAAATTCTAATCGTGGAATAAGATCATGATTATTGACTAATGTAAGACAATTAGAAGACAGTTTCAGATTAAAGTTTTTGATTTCACTGTCTTTTTTGAATTGCATGTTTTGTGTCAGTACTTTTTTTTTGTGACCAAATGTCCATATTGTTTTGTCCGCTGTCATTATTTTAGGCTAAAAAGAGCGAACTAGTTCTTCACAGTAAACAAAAATTTTGCACGAGAGAGTAAAAAAACATCTTTTTCTAGATAAATAAGCCTTCAAATGATCTGAAAGTACCGTTGAGATGTCTGATTTTAACACTTTAAAGAGGGATGAATAAGAAGCTTAGAAAACCGACTTTTTGCCAGTAATTCCTTTGAAGGGTTGAATAATAGTTACGTTTACCTGTGCAAAATTTTTGGGCACTGTGTGGGAAAATTCAGAATTTAGAATGTGGCAAGGCTTGTTCAGTGTGTAACTCGCTTGATGAACAAAGTTGCACGACTAATCTCAGAACTGCAGGAGACTATGATGGAATTAATTATTCTGTTATACTTAATGAGTTTCTGTTGAAAAGCGACAAATTCAAAACTTGCATTTTTTTTCAGAACAGATTGCCATAAACTTGGCGGCCACGATTTTCATGTCAAATATCCTAAATGGGTTTCGGATCGTGTAACCAAATTTCTTAATGATAATGTGAAAGTCTAATGGACCTGAATCCTAACTGGCAAAATGATCTCGTCAAATAGACTTTTATTTTTACCATATGTTGTGCATTCTAAGAAGATTTTAAGCGCAGCTCTTTAGCAGTTTCATGGTCTTCTTAACTGACTTAAACAATCACCAAAAATACTTCTATAACTTTTGTTGGCAGCGGTTCTAATCAGAATTGTTATTAGCAGTTCTTATTAAAATACGTGTTGTTAACTGCGAAGAAATAATTTTAGGTGTTTGAAAAAACTTAGAAGAAACTGGAGAATCAAAAGCAGTGTAATCAAACAATAAAAAATTTTCTGGGGTGAAAGGAGTGCTGTTATACTTTCATTTCTGCGCTCTTTTTCCTTTCTTTGTCGGCCAGCAGGAAGTTTGTTAACGATGTTATCAACACTGTTTGCCGGGTTTAATCTTTAAAGTCTATTTTTGAAATGAATAATATGGAAACAAACGTTTTATGCCAGAAAATATGACTTGTTACTTACTGTTCTGTGCATTACTGAATACAACATCGTGGATTAGTCTGCGACATCTTTGAAAACATTACTAAATTTGAACACAGTTGATACAGTAAAAAACATTTAAAAACCGCATATAAACAAATTGTCAGTTACAAAATAGGTAAAATTTCGAAAGTGCCGGTTGAAAAACCAACAAAAGTTTTTTCTCAAGGTTTTAAGAAGGGCTTCTTTGAAAGTCTTTTGCTGCTTCGCTAGAACTTCTGAACAAGAAGTTCACAGCAATTTTACGCTCAGGAAAGCGCATTGTTAGCAAAAATCTATTCCTATTTAGCTCACTTCATACCGGACACTGAGTTCACGAGTCTTAAACCAATAGTGTAAATTTTATGGATTTCGCAAAAAAATCAAACTATTTACACAGTGAGAAGAACAGGCTGCCTTTTGGCTTCTTTGACCGCAAATGAAGTTATAAAAATATAAGGAAGCTGAAACCGTAAAGCTTTAATTTTTTATATCACTGTACGACCTTCAATCAGTTTCAACTATTTGCAAAAAGTTGTCGGTTTAAGCAGGTGAAGAACAACATGCATCGGTTTGCTTAACAAGGTGTGAAATCGTTTTTTTGAAGGTCTGTTTCAAATAAAGTTTAAATCAAAAAATAAGTTGCAAGGAAGTCTACAGGATAAAATTTAAAAGAGCGGTAATTTTATCCCTGGGTATGAAAAAAATTTTAGTGCGAAGAAATTCACAACTGCCCCGGCGTCCACAACGTCGAGACACCTCACCATCAAAATTAAGATTACAGCAGTTAGGGACTGATGAGAAAACAAAAACTCTTCACAAAAGTAGCAGCCATACTGGAAGGTATATTAGATCCCATACATAGTAATGTAACATCTACACGTCTGGGTCTAGCGCAGTTCTCCAAAGTTTAAAACTTTTTACAGTAAGTCCGAATAGTATTTTTGATGCTTGAACAGCGTTTTTGAGAAAACAAAGACACGGAAATTTATTTCAAGGTGAAAATAATGACTGAAAGTCACAAAAATGAGGGGGAAAAAGAGTAGTTTTGATAATCTATTCAGTTGCCACTGTTCAAAATTTATTTTTTTTTTGTTCGGCCTTATGACCAAACAGCGATGAGCATCTTGTGAAATGATTCTAAATTAAAAAAATAGTTGTGACGTAGGCCACTGTACCTCATGCAAAAAAACAAAATACGCTCCTTCATCGAAGTTTGGGCAACTGTTACCTTCTAGCAAAATGTATAGAGAACTAAAATAGTTTTTCCGAGGTTAAAGGTTCTTTAGTTTTTTAGCCGATTACATATATAAATATAAATATATGAATATATAAATGTATAAATATATAAATATATAAATAAATAAATAAATA